AAATGACTGGCCATAGTTCATCAGGCCTCCCGATGCTCAAGGCAATGTCCTGTCTTGTGGACCCAGTTACTTTTCAGTTAAATATCATTTAGCCTTGTATATCCACCTTCAGGGGACCAAGCACAGTTCAGATCATGGCCATCTCAATACTCTGGGAACGCATTACAATACATTTTTTCCTATATAGAGGAATAGCCACTGAAGAGGTTCAATGAAGCCAGAATTGGCTGTGGAGACTCTAGTTTATTGTGGATAAGCACACTTTTTAATAAAGAAAAAACTACTTTATTCTAATTGCTTCCATAATAAGCCAGTGAATCAATGTGCAGGCCAGGATAAATTGCTTAGTATAATTGCATCAGTTTACAAGAATCAAAGGAAATCCAGGTTTCTGTGCAACTTTTACGTGAAGCTAAGGTACACGTGGGCGGATGTTTACATGTTACAGAATGAGAATGTTTTACATGTAGGTGTTTTATACAGCATTTACTATTTTGTTCAGACCCATTAGAACCGTTTCAGCAAAGTGACCTCCTGCCACTACTCTAAATAGTCACCAGGGGCAACCTCTCCTATAGATGGCGTTTGTACACCTCCTGACTTGAAGATGTCTTCAAAGACAGTTAATCATGCATACAGATTTTTACACTCTAGTTCCTCTAAATTTGATGCAAAGTCTTTCTTGTGAGTTGGTTTGTCTTCCTCATTTATTAAACACATCTCTTTATTTTTTGGCTGTTTCTTCAAGCCAAATTTACCTCAAAAATTCAATAATTGCCATAACTGATGAATTAATGCAGTGGGCAACAAGCTCTATAGCTAGTTTCTTAATAATAGTCCTAACAATCTTTTGTAAGATGGCAGTGTCATGGGCATTAGGGTATGATTGTCTGTAGTAATTTTTAAGCTTGTTGAGGTCATATGAGAATATTATGGAAGGTATTTCCTCCCAGAAAAATGAACATATGAATGAATATATGCACACATTTTTTAATATCATTTCTAAAGGGCTTGCGGACCTCCTAGAGCAGTGATGGCGAACCTTTTGAGCTCGGCGTGTCGGCATTTTGAAAAACCCCAACTTAACTCTGGTGCCGTGTCACATATAGAAATGTTTTGATATTTGCAACCATAGTAAAACAAAGACTTATATTTTTGATATTTATTTTATATATTTAAATGCCATTTAACAAAGAAAAATCAAACAAAAAAATGAGTTCACGTGTCACCGGTTCGCCATCACTGTCCTAGAGTCTATTCCGAGGTCCCCTCAGATTAAGAAGTTTTGTGCTAAGGGAATGTACTTAGAAAGAAATAGCATTTATTTTTATTTATAGTTTAGATGTGTTTATTAAAAATTCAAGTTTCACCATTCATCATCACAGCTTAAATCTATACATGTACTATTCTGTGTAGATGTATAATTGACTACATTAAAAATAACCTACATTTTGGCCCTAGCTGGTTTGGCTCAGTGGATAACATGTCAGCCTAAGGACTGAAGGGTCCCGGGTTTGATTCCAGTTAAGAGCACATGCCTATATTGTGGTCAATCCCCAGTAGCGGGTATGCGGGAGGCAGTCAATCAATGATTCTCCCATCATTGATGTTCCTATCTTTCTCTCCCTCTCCCTCTCAGAAATCAATAAAAATAAAAACTAAAAACCTACATTTTGGAATTTATGTGTGTTTTTTTAAGTTTTAATCTAGTTTAAATTTTCTTTTAAACTCTTTTCAACTTTGTAAATGAGGATTTTAAAAAAATATATGAAATTTTTTTGTTGTTTTTTTCATCTTGAAAGATAGCCTAGCTTAAGAACTTTGGCTTGACTATTCAACTTAATATTGCATTTGAAAAAATTCTCTAATAGGATATTGGTCTTAAAGACTTTGAAACTTAGAATCTACATATACATTTAGTTCCAGTTCTCTGCTATTAAAATAACATAGACTGAGTCTCAGAATTAGGTAATAACTCTTACTTTTTAAAAACATTGTCACATGGTAATTTCTGGAATCAAAAAAATGTGGAAGGAAATAATAATTTAAAAAAAACACCTTATAGACACAGACAACAGCATGGTGATTACCAGAGGGAAAGAAGGTGGGGGAAAGTAAAAGAGGGCAAGGAGGCGATAAATAATGATAAAAGGAGACTTAACTTGAGGTGGTGAACACACAATATACAGATGATGTATTATAGAATTGAACACTTAAAACCTATATAATTTTATTAACCAATGTCATCCCAATAAATTCAATACAAATAAAAATTGAAAAATGTGAATCCAAGGTGATGCAAGAATTCAGTATATGCAAATACATTTTCCATGGTCATTAATAGAACTTACATAGAAATCATAAGCCCTTTTAGTGACCATGGATACTGCATATATGTTCATTCTTTGTCATTATGAATACTAATTTTATATACATGTACAGTGAAGTTTTAATCACCTCCTAAGCAAAAAAAAGTCCCACTGTTGTTTCAAACCTGCAAGCAAGTGTAATGTAATGGGGCTCCTGATTTAAAACATTGAGGATCTAAATTTAGCTGGAGTTTATGACACTGGAAATGAATTCAAATAGCCTTTTTACTAGAGGAACTATAGTGGTAACAATCTACCATAGACACCTGGTTAGCTGTGGATTCTGTCATGAGCTTATACTTGCTACCCTGCTTTATTGCTGTACATACAGCATGTGTGTGTATGTGGAAACATTTTTGGAGAATAGGCTCACATACAAGACAAAATGAACGTGGAGTCATGTTGATATGAATGAAATCCTTGGCATTACTTAAAGGTGTATATTTCTATACACATAGAATATGCTCCAATGTCATATTTCTATGATGCATAGTCTTCATATAATTTATTTCTGAAACTAGGATAGCTTCTTAGAATTGATAGTGTATTATAGTTCATTTGGTTGAATTTTTTCTAATGCTACACACAAAAAATATTGCAAATAACAATTGATGGAGTCTTGGATTCAATAAATTACATTGTATAGATTAGAGCACATAAGGTCAGAAGGTGCCTTAGCAATGTTACAGCAACTCCTTAAGGGAATTGAAATTTAAGGGTCAATTCATGTGCTAAAGACACAGATTTTGGTGACAAAACAGGTACAGTCTATTGATTAGCTTTTTAAATACTTTCACCTATCATATGTGAATCATTAGATCATAAATTTGTAAAATCAATGTAAATCACTTTTTATGACATTTCTTTTGTAATATTTATGTAAATATTCATGTAAATTAAAAAGCATAATGAATTACTGAGAATAAATGAACAAATTTTAACTATGAGCAAAATGTACACAAGACTATAATGTTGAATGATATATATCATATTTTATAAACAAATCTAAAACACTTTCAAAACTAAAATTTAGCCTAATCCATATAGTACCTTTTTCAATTGTTCATTTTCAGTGCTAATGTGGAAAAAAAAGTATTCAAAGGCTATTTTTTAAACCACATGTTAGATTCAAAATTAAGAAGGCATATTTTAATGGCAGCTGGTTTAAAACAATTTGACATGAGTGCAGTAACAGTTTGGAAAATGTGTCTATGCTTAGTTTTGCTTCCAAATTTGGACTTTGAAACTTTTTGTCAGTCTCAGAAATAAATAAGAAGCTGTGCAGATAATTAAACATTTGCCTTGAGGGATTTATCTGCAGTTAATTAAAACCATACACTTTGGGTGGATACTTGCTTCACTGGTTATTAAATTTGAATCATATGTTAACTACCCAGTTTTCTCACTTGTCCATCAAATGTTGCTTGTGGTAGGTTCAAGAAACAAATTTTCTCATAATATTCCAAGCAAAGTTGTTTAAAGCTATCTCCTAGTTTGGAGAGGGATAGAGAAAAGGGGGAAAGGAAAACCAAAAAATAAAATGATTTATTTTAGCTTCCACCTAAATCAGTTCTGTTAGGGCTGAGCAATATGAGCTCAGGAGAGACCCCATTTGTAAGTTATAGAGGTGCCATTCTACCATCCTCAGATTTCTTCATGGCCCTGTGCATATAAGATTAACTCATGATTTTCTATCTATATCTGTGGATTACTACCCTTTTAGCTGCATGGAAAATATCCAATAGACTGTACCCTCTATGAGGGCAGAAATTTGGTATTGTGTTTACTGTAGACTCCCCGGAATCAAGAACAGTGTCTGGCATAGAATTGGCCCTTAATAAAGACTTGTAGGATAAATGAAAGACCTATTTTCTATTTCCCTGCTGAACTACTCATGTGTTTTTTATGGTGGTTTTTAAGGAGCCTCCAGAGAGTTCTCAAACATCTAACAGGGGACACTTTCTAACTTTGCAAGAGTCCAGTCATTGAAAACCTTTTAGCCATCGTCAAGTATATCTTATGACCAAGAAAGAACTTATGCTGATCTCACGTTTAAATGTGCTATACAGGGGTGAGGATGAAATTGCCCAGAACAGAAGGTTTGCATCCCCCGCTTTCCCATTGTTCTACTGGTACAGTTCCTGAGAAAGATGAACTTAATTACCACTGGATTTCAAACGTCCGAGTTTGGCTTTCTTACTGACTCAAGCCCCCAAATATGAACAGCTACAGTAATGGAAGCATTAAGCACATTAAAATTAGATAGTCTTTTAATTTCTCTATTTTGCCTTCTTTTCATATTCTTTTGCACAATTCTCCTAAAACTTTCACTGATGTGTAAAGCCTGCTTATATTTTCTGTTTGTTGCAAAAAATATATATATCCCAAAAAACTCTACCATCTTTACTTTGCAAACTTTGTAGGATAAAAAAAGACCTGTTTCATTTATTCAGATATATCATGTAGTGTTTTCAGAAAATTGTATTTATTGGTGAAATTATGTAAGTATTTTAATGGTATTTTAAAAATAAGTTCTATCCCCCAAATATATATCATCATATTAGTGCTAGAAGCTGCTCTCTTTTCTGATTAAAAATGCTGACCAGAGATTTTACTTGTTTGTCGTGTCAGATTCTGCAAAAGATGACAATATTGCAAATGACAGTGAAGCAACAGATCATTCAGTGTGTGACCAAGATCATCCCAATGGTAAGTTACGAGGTCTTTTTTCAAGTTGTTGTTGTTGTTTCTGTTGTAGGATATTACATTTTAGAAACTCGAATTTTAGTTCTCTGGAAAAAATGGAATCTGGTAGTATTTTATTAGAACTGAATACCAGGTAATTAGTAGTGGCCACATTTAGAAGAGGCATTTGCTCTCCATAATCCTCATCACTCATTACATTTGTACAAGTCTGGCTTTATTTCTTTTTACTGCCTGAACTCTATAGGCATTGAGTTGACAACTATTTAAATTAGGATATAATAACAATGAGAATAAATGTGAGACATATAGAAAATAGATCCAGGATATTAGAGCTACATATTCTTGGAATACGTGGAAGAGAGACAGAGCAAACAAAAATGAAAAATAACAAAAAAGTTTTCCTAAAGCAAACCAGTTCCTCTATCTAAAACACAAAGGTACATATTATATTTATGGGGAAAGATAATAAAAACACAAGGGAGAACAGAAATCTATAAGGGCTCACGGAATTTATGGAGATCAATGATAAAGAAAAGCTTTTAAAGCAAATAGGAAAGTCAAAAATCAGTTTAAAAAACTAATCAACAAAATCAGATTACCCTTAGCTTTCTTCTTCCATAACTCTAAACAGTAGAAGAAAACGGAATAACATTTCCAGAGCTCCAAATAACACAGTTTCTATATTTAGTGAAATTATTATTCATGCATGAAGTCAAGGGTAATATTTTCTCAGTAATACAAAGATTAAGAAAATATACCACCCAAGTACTCATTCTGAATAAACTAACAGAGGACTGTGCAAAAACAATAAATATAGAAAGTAAAGAAAACTTCAAGCTTGAGAAAGGTACAGTTAAGAAGGACTGAATGATAAGAGACTCGTTATATATATGAAAATGTTGCAGTGATTGTTTCAAATTAGTATCAAATATCTTATGTAAATGTTTGCTTTTACCTTTGAAAATTATAGTAAGGGCTTTTTATAATTACAAAGATGGAGACACTTTGCTCTTAGTAATAAAATTTTAAATAAATTAGACCATATCTCTATTATTCTCACTGAAGACAACAAGACAGCATAGAAAAAAATATTTGTGTATGTCTCAGAGACAGAGAAAGACAGAGACACAGAACGAGAGTCTGATTAAAGGCATCAGAGAGGCTTAAGAGATAGAGCACTGTCTGGCTGGCTTAGAGGAGAAAATGGATATCCAGAAATGTGAGTTCAGAATTTGAAACTGTTTTTACCTTAAGGCATTTGCTGATTCGATTCTTCAAAAGGTATCTTGAATCACATTGCTCAGAAGTGTAAGGGGCTCTGGTAAATCCCCCGTTTCTTGGGTTGAAACCCCAAAGATATGTACCGTAGCAGAAAGAATGAACCAGCAGATCAGCCTTCTGAAAGACTGCTGACCAGCTTTAAATCATCTCAATCCCTCAATTAAATTAAAACCAACCCAGATTGCTAGTTCCTCTAGGCACCTAAGAAAAGCAAATGTAAAATATTTACTAGATGAAAATGAGAGTGCTACAAGTTTTAAACAATTTTCATAAGCAATTTGCTAAATATAATATTCAGCACACATTTAAGAAATAGCTAGAATAAATGAGAAAACAAAGTAATATGAAAATCAAACAAAGAGTCAAGAGTGGCAAGCCACTAGGGCTGAAAATATTAGAGTTATAAACATAAATTATAAAACATAAAAGCTATGTATAAAGAAAGACAAGATTGAAAAAAATGATCTGAGAACTGGAAATTCAAAACAAAAAAAGAGGAAAAGAAATCTAAAAGTAGAAGATGCCACAACTGAAATGAAGAATTCAATGAATGAATTTGTGGTTTAATAGCATATTTAGATATAGATGAAAGAAAAATTGTGAATGTGAAGTTATGTCACAAAATATATATCTAAAATAAAAACAGTATATCCAAAAAAAATATCCAAAAGAGAAACACAGAACAGCAAACACTACAGAAAAGGAAAAGACATGGAGGATAAAATGACAGTCTATCACAGAAAATTTGGCAGAAGTAATATTTAAACAAATTCTGGTGAGATTTTTTTTATAGTGTTAAAGGATATCATGCCATGCGTTTCAAAAGTCCTTTGAACTATAAGCAAAATAAATTCACAACTAGGCCCATCATAGCATAACTATTAAAAATCAAAGATAAACAGAACATCCAAAAAGCAATCTTTAAACAATCAGACAGCTGACTTTTCAATAGATATGATGAAAATAAAAAGACAATGCAAGAGAAAATTGCTAACCAAGAATTCTAAATCCAGGGAAAATGTATGTTTTAAGAATAAAAGTTAATTAAGGATGTTTCAGACCAATAAAAGAAAAGTTTATCACTGGAGAAATTCTGGTGTTCTTAAGGTAGGATGATACCAATTTCAGTTAGAAGGTCAAAGATGAAGGAAGGAATTAAAAGCAAGGTCAATGGTAATTATTAAATAAGTCTAAATGAATATTGATGGCACAAATCAATAATGATGATTATAATAATAGCAATGTATTGTGGGAGTTAAGATATACTTAAAAAGTATAATTGAGATATTAAATTTTAAAAGATATATCACAAATTAAAATACACTACAATAATGGCATGTATTGGGATGAGGGAAATTAATTGTGCTGTTTTTCCAGGCACATTGGCATTGTGGAGAATAAAAATACCAACTAACATTAAAATGTAATGTCTCTGTGATAACCTAAGTCAGGAAATGAGATGAGTCATGTGATGTCCCAGATAAATGCTGGGAGAGACTGCCCAGACCAAAATGCAGAGAGGAGGAACTCAAGCAGAGCCCAACAGACTCCTGAGTTGAGGAGATAGAGCTAAAATTCCTGGAAGGCCAAGGTATCCAGTTATTTTCAGGGCAGAGCACAGAAGAAAGAGCTCCACAGAGGGAACTTTGTAGAGATTTACAAAGGGAATCCCTCAAGTCTCTGGCTGAGTACTGATCAGTGCATGCATGATTATAAATTACCAGTGCAAGCATGAGAGGCTGGGTAAGAACACTAAAGGATTTGAGAGAATGATATCTGAGTTTCCAGAGGTTCTGGGAGAAATGCCTGTTCCAGCCATACTGGAAAATGTATAAATTCATGGACGACTCAGAAGGACTCTGCCTCAGTAGTGGACCAAAACTAGCAATATATTAAGTGCTGCTCTTGTCCTCCCCCAATTCAGCTTAAAAGCAAGGTTTAAAAAGTTCAAACTGTTTCTGAATAACTTAACTGATCTTAGAATAAAGCTCAAAAATATGTATAGAAATGTAAATATATCTCATGCCCATCAGAGTAATAGACAAAATGACCAGGTATAAAAAAGCATTGCAAGACAAATCTCCATGCATCTCTTCCGTTTTGTATATTTTACAGAGGGTGATTGCCTTTGTTTGGCCAGTCTTTTCCAGGATGGTTGTATAGTGAACAATCTTCAAAGACAGAAAACTGTCTCCCTCTGGAGCGAACAACAGGCTTGCTTACAGCCTTGGAAGATAAGAATCGTGTACCTCCCCCAAGGGACAGACATGCTCACTGTCCATTACAAAATAGTCAAATTATCTAAGGTCAAGCGTCCTCTCCATAATACAACCCACCGAGTGTGCAAGTACCACTTGGTCACCCAGTGGGCACTGAGGCTCAGGAAACAAGTGCAAGTAGTCTGGCTACTGCTATTGCTCTGAATAATAAGTTATTCTTCATCTCTGGCCTGGGAGTCTGTCTTCTGTCAGCAACCATGGAATTGTGACTAGCTAACTTATTAAGTGCAAGTGAGGAAAAATTTAAGACCCTTCCCAATTCTTGAAAAGAAGCAGAAAATTATGACCAATAGAAGAAGTCAATTGATAGAAACCAATCCAAGTGGCACAAATAGAATAATATGAACGGTCATGTTACAAAAATATTATTATTGTACAGGTATCCACAACTTCCAAAAGATAAAATAAGGATTTTCAATGTTAACTAGAAACATGACAAATATAAAAAATATCCAAATGGAATTTCTAGAGATTAAAAACAGTGGCTGAAATGAAAATCATACCTGATAGGAATTGTGGCAGATTAGATACTGCAAAAGAAAAGATTAGTGAATTTGAAGCTGTAGCAATAGAAACTATTCAAATTAAAACAGAATAGCCCAGCCAGTGCGGCTCCTTGGTTGAGCATTGACCTATGAACTAGGAGATCACAGTTCGATTCCAGTCAAGGGGCATGCCTGGGTTGTGGGCTCGATCCCCAAGTGGGGGGCGTTGCCAGTAGTTTTGATCAGAAATCTAGAGAAGGGCTGTGCATAAATAAAAGTCCAGAGACAAAACATAATTTTGAAAGGCATGATAGGGAGTCAGAGAAGACTTAGCTAAAGGAACTAAGTTCTCGTCATCTCAGGACCCCTTGCTTTTTATTAACACAATTTGTCCTAAGGCAAGGTAGATATATACTTCAAAGGTTAGGGTTTTGTACAGAATCCATTGTCAGATTGGAAGAATTTGCCTACCGCTGTTCAGGTGTTTAGCCAGTAGGAGGCAATAACATAGATTAAGATGCCCTGAGCTGTCTGGCAGCAAGCAAGCAATTTAATATCCTTTTCAGGTTTGGGGAAATGCCCTCAGCCATTCCCAACAGGTGACAACATATGTGACTCAGCCCTTTTTGAGTCCCCAAGTTCCATCAACCTTTTGATGAAACTCTTACAATTATGACATGCTGGAATTGGCTTCTGGCAGGGCATGCAGGAGGCAGGCTATCAATGATTCTCTCTCATCATTGATGTTTCTATATCTCTCTCCCTCTCTCTTCCTCTCTTAAATCAATAAAAATATATATATTTTAAAAACAGAGAATAAGTGAGGAAAAAGAAAAGGCCCTCGGTGAGCTATGGAACAACTCCAAGGATAATTCCAACTCCAATATACGTGAATTAAAATCTCTGAAGACAGACCTGAGAGGGAGAGACAGAAAAAATATCTGAGGAAATAATGGAT